CACAGAGACACAGAGACAGAGACACACACAGAGACACAGAGACACACACACACAGAGACACACACAGAGACACAGAGACACACACACACAGATACACACACAGAGACACAGAGACACAGAGAGTGAGACAGAGACACACAGAGACACAGAGACACAGATTGTCCACCGTGGCTGCAGCACGTTTCACTACGTTCACACCTAGAGAGACACACAGACACAGAGAGTGAGACAGAGACACAGAGACACAGTCAGAGACACACACACAGAGACACAGAGACACAGATTGTCCACCGTGGCTGCTGAACGTTTCACTACGTTCACACCTAGAGAGACACACAGACACACAGACAGAGACACAGAGACACACAGAGACACACAGAGAGACACAGAGACACAGAGAGTGAGACAGAGAGACACAGAGACACACACAGAGACACAGACAGACACAGAGACACAGAGACACAGTCAGAGACACAGAGACACAGAGACACAGATTGTCCACCGTGGCTGCTGAACTTTTCACTACGTTCACGCCTACAGACAGAGAGACACAGAGACACAGACAGAGACACAGAGAGTGAGACAGAGACACACACAGAGACACACACAGAGACACACACACAGAGACACAGAGACACACACAGATACACACAGACAGAGACACACACAGAGACACAGAGACACAGAGACACACACAGAGTCAGACACAGAGACACAGAGACAGAGACAAAGACACAGAGACACAGACACAGAGACACAGAGACACACACAGAGACACAGAGACACAGAGACACAGACAGAGACACACACAAACAGAGACACACAGAGACACAGAGACACAGAGACAGAGACACAGAGACACAGACAGACACAGAGACACAGAGACACAGAGACACACACAGAGACACAGAGACACACACAGAGACACAGAGACACAGAGACAGAGACACAGAGACACAGATACACACACACAGACAGAGACACAGAGACACAGAGACACAGAGACACACACACAGAGACACAGAGACACAGAGACACAGACAGACACAGAGACACAGAGACACACACACACAGAGACACAGAGACACACAGAGACACAGAGACAGAGACACAGAGACACAGAGACACACACAGAGACACACAGACAGAGACACAGAGACACAGAGACAGAGACACAGAGACACAGATTGTCCACCGTGGCTGCAGCACGTTTCACTACGTTCACACCTAGAGAGACACAGAGACAGAGACACAGAGAGACACAGAGACACAGAGAGTGAGACAGAGACACACAGAGACACACAGAGACACAGAGACAGAGACACAGAGAGTGAGACAGAGAGACACAGAGACACACACAGAGACACAGACAGACACAGAGACACAGAGACACACACACACAGAGACACACACAGAGACACAGAGACACAGAGACACAGAGACACAGACAGAGACACAGAGACACAGAGACACAGAGAGAGACACAGAGACACAGAGACACAGAGACACAGACAGAGACACAGATTGTCCACCGTGGCTGCAGCACGTTTCACTACGTTCACACCTAGAGAGACACACAGACACAGGGACACAGAGACAGAGAGTGAGACACAGAGTGAGACAGAGAGACACAGAGACACAGAGACACACACACAGAGAGTGAGACACAGAGACAGAGAGACAGAGAGACACAGAGACACAGATTGTCCACCGTGGCTGCTGAACTTTTCACTACGTTCACGCCTACAGACAGAGAGACACAAAGACACAGACAGAGACACAGAGAGTGAGACAGAGACACACACACAGAGACACACACAGAGACACACACACAGAGACACACACAGAGACACACAGACAGAGACACACACAGAGACACAGAGACACAGAGACACACACAGAGTCAGACACAGAGACACAGAGACAGAGACAAAGACACAGAGACACAGACACAGAGACACAGAGACACACACAGAGACACAGAGACACAGAGACACAGACAGAGACACACACAAACAGAGACACACAGAGACACAGAGACAGAGACACAGAGAGACAGACACAGACAGAGACACAGAGACAGAGACACAGAGACACAGAGACACAGACAGACACAGAGACACAGAGACACAGAGACACAGACACACACACACAGACACAGAGACACACACAGAGACACAGAGACACAGAGACAGAGACACAGAGACACAGATACACACACACAGACAGAGACACAGAGACACAGAGACACAGAGACACACACACAGAGACACAGAGACACAGACAGACACAGAGACACAGAGACACAGAGACACACACACAGAGACACAGAGACACACACAGAGACACAGAGACAGAGACACAGAGACACAGAGACACACACAGAGACACACAGACAGAGACACAGAGACACAGAGACAGAGACACAGACACAGAGACACAGAGACACAGAGACACACACAGAGACACAGAGACACAGAGACACAGACAGAGACACACACAAACAGAGACACACAGAGACACAGAGACACAGAGACAGAGACACAGAGAGACAGATACACAGACAGAGACACAGAGACAGAGACACAGAGACACAGAGACACAGACAGACACAGAGACACAGAGACACAGAGACACAGACACACACACACAGACACAGAGACACACACAGAGACACAGAGACACAGAGACAGAGACACAGAGACACAGATACACACACACAGACAGAGACACAGAGACACAGAGACACACACACAGAGACACAGAGACACAGAGACACAGACAGACACAGAGACACAGAGACACAGAGACACACAAACAGAGACACAGAGACACACACAGAGACACAGAGACAGAGACACAGAGACACAGAGACACACACAGAGACACACAGACAGAGACACAGAGACACAGAGACAGAGACACAGAGACACAGACACAGAGACACACACAGAGACAAGAGACACACAGAGAGTCACACACAGACAGAGACACACAGAGACACAGACAGAGACACAGAGACACAGACACACAGAGACACAGAGAATGAGACAGAGACACACACAGAGACACACAGAGACACAGAGACACACAGAGACACACACAGTGAGACACAGAGACACAGAGACACACAGAGACACACACAGAGACACACAGAGACACAGATACACACAGAGACACACACAGTGAGACACAGAGACACAGAGACACACAGAGACACACAGAGACACACACAGAGACACACAGAGACACAGATACACACAGAGACACAGAGAGTGAGACAGAGACACACACAGAGACACACACAGTGAGACACAGATACACAGAGACACACAGACAGAGACAAAGACACAGAGACACAGACACAGAGACACACACAGAGACACACACAGAGACACAGAGACACAGACACACAGAGACACACAGAGACACAGAGAGTGAGACAGAGACACACAGACAGAGACACACAGAGACACAGAGACACACAGAGACACACACAGAGACACACAGAGACACAGAGACACACAGAGACACACACAGTGAGACACAGAGACACAGAGACACACAGTCACACACAGAGACACAGAGAGTGAGACAGAGACACACACAGTGAGACAGAGACACACACAGTGAGACAGAGACACACACAGTGAGACACAGAGACACAGAGAGACACACACAGAGACACAGACACAGTCAGAGACACAAAGACACAGAGAGTCAGAGACACAGACAGAGAGACACACAGACAGAGACACACACAGACACAGAGACAGAGACACAGACAGAGACACACAGACAGAGACACAGAGACAGAGACACAGACAGACACACAGACAGAGACACAGAGACACAGACAGAGACACACAGACAGAGACACAGAGACAGAGACGCAGACAGAGACACACAGACAGAGACACAGAGACACAGAGACACAGACAGACACACAGATAGAGACACAGACAGAGACACAGAGACACAGACAGAGACACACAGACAGAGACACAGACACACAGAGACAGAGACACAGACAGACAAACAGACAGAGACACAGACAGACGCACAGACAGAGACACAGAGACAGAGACACAGACAGACACACAGACAGAGACAGAGACACAGACAGAGACACACAGACAGAGACACAGAGACACAGAGACAGAGACACAGACAGACAAACAGACAGAGACACAGAGACACACAGACAGAGACACAGACACAGAGACACAGACAGAGACACACAGACAGAGACACAGACACACAGAGACAGAGTGGATGAGTGAGTGAGTGGGTGACTGAGTGAGTGGGTGAGTGAGTGAGTGGGTGAGTGAGTGAGTGGGTGAGTGGGTGAGTGAGTGAGTGGGTGAGTGAGTGAGTGGGTGAGTGGGTGAGTGAGTGAGTGGGTGAGTGGGTGAGTGAGTGGGTGAGTGGGTGGGTGGGTGGGTGAGTGAGTGAGTGGGTGAGTGAGTGAGTGGGTGAGTGAGTGAGTGGGTGAGTGGGTGAGTGAGTGAGTGAGTGGGTGAGTGGGTGAGTGAGTGAGTGAGTGGGTGAGTGGGTGACTGGTGAGTGAGTGAGTGGGTGAGTGAGTGAGTGGGTTAGAGAGTGAGTGGGGGAGTGAGTCGGTGAGTGAGTGGATGGGTGAGTGAGTGAGTGGATGAGTGAGTGAGTGAGTGGGTGAGTGAGTGAGTGGGTTAGAGAGTGAGTGGGTGAGTGGGTTAGAGAGTGAGTTGGTGAGTGAGTGAGTGGGTGAGTGAGTGAGTGAGTGGGTGAGTGAGTGAGTGAGTGGGTGAGTGAGTGAGTGAGCTGGTGAGTGAGTGGGTGAGTGAGTGAGTGGGTGAGTGAGTGAGTGAGTGGGTGAGTGAGTGGGTGGGTGGGTGAGTTAGTGGGTGAGTGAGTGATTGGGTGAGTGGGTGAGTGAGTGAGCTGGTGAGTGAGTGAGTGAGCTGGTGAGTGGGTGAGTGAGTGGGCGAGTGAGTGGGTGGGTGAGTGAATGAGTGGTTGAGTGAGTGAGTGGGTGAGTGAGTGGGTGAGCTGGTGAGTGAGTGGTGAGTGAGTGAGTGGGTGAGTGAGTGAGTGAGTGGGTGGGCGAGTGAGTGAGTGAGTGGGTGAGTGAGTGAGTGGGTGAGTGAGTGAGTGAGTGGGTGAGTGAGTGAGTGAGTGGGTGGGCGAGTGAGTGGGTGGGTGAGTGGGTGAGTGAGTGAGTGGGTGAGTGAGTGGGTGGGTGAGTGGGTGAGTGAGCTGGTGAGTGAGCTGGTGAGTGAGTGAGTGAGTGGGTGAGTGAGTGAGTGGGTGGGTGAGTGAGTGAGTGAGCTGGTGAGTGAGTGAGTGGGTGAGTGAGTCGGTGGGTGAGTGAGTGAGCTAGTGAGTGGGTGAGTGAGTGAGTGAGCTGGTGAGTGAGTGAGTGAGCTGGTGAGTGAGTGAGCTGGTGAGTGAGTGGGTGAGCTGGTGAGTGAGTGAGCTGGTGAGTGAGTGAGTGAGCTGGTGAGTGAGTGAGTGAGCTGGTGAGTGAGTGAGCTGGTGAGTGAGTGAGTGAGTGGTGAATGAGTGGGTGAGTGGGTGAGTGAGTGAGCTGGTGAGTGAGTGAGTGAGCTGGTGAGTGAGTGAGTGAGCTGGTGAGTGAGTGAGCTGGTGAGTGAGTGAGCAGGTGGATGAGTGAGTGGGTGAGTGAGTGAGTGAGCTGGTGAGTGGGTGAGTGAGCTGGTGAGTGAGTGAGTGAGCTGGTGAGTGAGTGAGTGAGCTGGTGAGCGAGCTGGTGAGTGAGTGAGTGAGCTGGTGAGTGAGTGAGTGAGCTGGTGAGTGAGTGAGTGAGCTGGTGAGTGAGTGAGTGAGCTGGTGAGTGAGCTGGTGAGTGAGCTGGTGAGTGAGCTGGTGAGTGAGTGAGCTGGTGAGTGAGTGAGTGGGTGAGTGAGTGAGTGAGTGAGCTGGTGAGTGAGTGAGTGAGCTGGTGAGTGAGTGAGTGAGTGGGTGAGTGAGTGAGTGAGCTGGTGAGTGAGTGAGTGGGTGAGCTGGTGAGTGAGCTGGTGAGTGAGCTGGTGAGTGAGTGGATGAGCTGGTGAGTGAGCTGGTGAGTGAGTGAGTGAGTGGGTGAGTGAGTCAGTGAGCTGGTGAGTGAGTGAGTGAGTGGGTGAGTGAGTGAGTGAGCTAGTGAGTGAGCTGGTGAGTGAGTGAGTGAGTTATAATCCCTCACCCATCGCCTCTAGGAATTTTTCATAATTTTCATTCTTTTCCACCTTCCAGGTTCCAGAGAAAGCCATCTTGGTACTGGTGAGACACAGAGAGTGAGTTGGTGAGTGTCTCGTTTAGCCACTCACCCTCTCACTCACTCACTCACCCACCAACTCACTCACCCACCCAGTCACCCACTCACTCACTCACCCACTCACCCACTTACTCACTCACCCACTCAATCACTCACTCACCCACTCACTCACTCACCCACTCACCCACTCACTCACCCACTCACCCACTCAATCACCCACTCACTCACTCACCCACTCACTCACTCACTCACCCACTCACCCACCCACCCACTAACTCACCCACCCAGTCACCCACTCACTCACTCACTCACCCACTCACTCACCCACTCACCCACTCAATCACCCACTCACTCACTCACCCACTCACTCACTCACTCACCCACTCACCCACCCACCCACTAACTCACCCACCCAGTCACCCACTCACTCACTCACCCACTCACCCACTTACTCACTCACCCACTCAATCACTCACTCACCCACTCACTCACTCACCCACTCACCCACTCACTCACCCACTCACTCCCTCACCCACTCACTCACTCACTCACCCACTCACCCACCCACCCACCCACTCACCCACCAACTCACTCACTCACCCACTCACCCACTCACTCACGCAATCACTCACCCACTCACTCACTCACCCACTCACTCACTCACTCACCCACTCACCCACTTACTCTCTCACTCACCCACTCACTCACTCACCCACTCACCCACTCACTCACCCACTCACTCACTCACCGACCCACCAACTCACTCACTCACCCACTCACTCACCCACTCACTCACCCACTCACCCACTCACTCACCCACTCACCCACTTACTCACCCACTCACTCACCCACTCACCCACTGACTCACTCACTCACTCAACCACCCACCAACTCACTCACTCACCCACTCACTCACCCACTCACTCACCCACTCACTCACCCACTCACCCACTTACTCACTCACTCACTCACCCACTCACCCACTGACTCACCCACTCACCAACTCACTCACCCACCCACTCACTCACTCACTCACCCACCCACTCACTCACTCACCCACCAACTCACTCACTCACCCACCCACTCACCCACCCACTCACCCACCCACTCACCCACCCACTCACTCACTCACTCACCCACTCACTCACTCACTCACCCACTCACTCACCCACTCACTCACTCACCCACTTAACAAATTCACTCACTCACCCACTCACTTACTCACCCACTCACCCACTCACACACCCACTCACACACTCATCCACCCACTCACTCACTCACTCACCCACCCACACACTCACCCACCCTCTCACTCACTCACTCATCCACTCACTCACCCACCCACCCACTCACCCACTCACTCACTCACCCACCCACCCACCCACTCACTCACTCACCCACTTACTCACCCACTCACTCACTCACTCACCCACTCACTCACCCACTCACTCACTCACCCACTCACCCACTCACTCACTCACCCACTCACCCACTTACTCACTCACTCACCCACTCACCCACCCAATCACTCACTCACTCACTCACCCACTCACCCACTTACTCACTCACTCACTCACCCACTCACTCACTCACTCACCCACTCACTCACTCACTCACCCACTCACTCACTCACCCACTCACTCTCCCACACACCCATCCACCCAGTCACTCACTCACTCACCAACTCACCCACTCACTCACTCACCCACTCACTCACTCACTCACCCACTTACTCACTCACCCAATCACCAACCCACCCACTCACTCGCCCTCCCACTCACTCACCCACTCACTCACTCACCCACTCACTCACTCACCCACTCACCCACTCACTCACTCACCCACTCACTCACTCACCAACTCACTCACTCACCCACTCACTCACCAACTCACTCACTCACCAACTCACTCACCCACTCACTCACTCACTCACCCACCCACACACTCACTCACTCACTCACCCACTCACTCACTCACTCAGACACTCACTCACTCACTTACTCACTCACCCAATCACTAACCTACCCACTCACTCGCCCACTCACTCACTCACCCACTCACTTACCCACTCACTCACTCACCCACTCACTCACTCACCAACTCACTCACTCACCCACTCACTCACTCACCCATTCACTCAATCACTCACAAACTCACTCTCTAACCCACTCACCCACTCACTCAACCACCCACTCACTCACTCACCCACTCGCTCACTCACTCACCCACTTACTCACTCACCCAATCACCAACCCACCCACTCACTCGCCCACTCACTCACTCACCCACTCACTCACCCACTCACTCACTCACCCACTCACTCACTCACTCACCCACTCACTCACTCACCAACTCACTCACCTACTCACTCACCCACTCACTCACTCACCAACTCACTCTCTAACCCACTCACCCACTCACTCAACCACCCACTTACTCACTCACTCACCCACTCACCCACCCAATCACTCACTCACTCACTCACCCACTCACCCACTTACTCACTCACTCACTCACCCACTCACTCACTCACTCACCCACTCACTCACTCACTCACCCACTCACTCACTCACCCACTCACTCTCCCACACACCCATCCACCCAGTCACTCACTCACTCACCAACTCACCCACTCACTCACTCACCCACTCACTCACTCACTCACCCACTTACTCACTCACCCAATCACCAACCCACCCACTCACTCGCCCTCCCACTCACTCACCCACTCACTCACTCACCCACTCACTCACTCACCCACTCACTCACTCACCCACTCACTCACTCACCAACTCACTCACTCACCCACTCACTCACCAACTCACTCACTCACCAACTCACTCACCCACTCACTCACTCACCCACCCACACACTCACTCACTCACTCACCCACTCACTCACTCACTCAGACACTCACTCACTCACTTACTCACTCACCCAATCACTAACCCACCCACTCACTCACCCACTCACTCACTCACCCACTCACTTACCCACTCACTCACTCACCCACTCACTCACTCACCAACTCACTCACTCACCCACTCACTCACTCACCCATTCACTCAATCACTCACAAACTCACTCTCTAACCCACTCACCCACTCACTCAACCACCCACTCACTCACTCACCCACTCGCTCACTCACTCACCCACTTACTCACTCACCCAATCACCAACCCACCCACTCACTCGCCCACTCACTCACTCACCCACTCACTCACCCACTCACTCACTCACCCACTCACTCACTCACTCACCCACTCACTCACTCACCAACTCACTCACCTACTCACTCACCCACTCACTCACTCACCAACTCACTCTCTAACCCACTCACCCACTCACTCAACCACCCACTCACTCACTCACCCACTCACTCACCCACTCACCCACTCACTCACTCACCCACTCACTCACCCACTCACTCACTCACCCACTCACTCACCCATCCACATACTCACCGTGAGTGTAGTCAAACTCTCTGTGAGCCTGATGAACCACTCACTCACTCACTCTCACCAACTCACCCACTTACTCACTCACCCACTCACTCACTCACCAACTCACTCACTCACCAACTCACTCACTCACACACTCGCCCACTCACTCACTCACCAACTCACTCACTCACCTACTCACCCACTCACTCACCAACTCACTCACTCACCAACTCACTCACTCACTCACTCACCCGCTCACTCACTCACTCACCCACCCACACACTCACTCACTCACCCACTCACTCACTCACCCACTTACTCACTCACCCAATCACCAACCCACCCACTCACTCGCCCACTCACTCACTCACCAACTCACTCACCCACTCACTCACTCACCCACTCACTCACTCACTCACCAACTCACTCTCTAACCCACTCACCCACTCACTCAACCACTCACTCACTCACTCACCCACTCACTCAACCACCCACTCACCCACTCACCCACTCAATCACTCACTCAGCCACTCACTCACTCAGTCACTCACTCAGTCACTGACTCACTCAGTCACTCACTCAGCCACTCACTCAGCCTCTCACTCACTCACTCAGTCAATCACTCACTCACTCAGCCACTCACTCACTCACTCACCCACTCACCCACTCACTCACCCATCCACATACTCACCGTGAGTGTAGTCAAACTCTCTGTCAGCCTGATGAACCACTCACTCACTCACTCTCACCAACTCACCCACTCACACACTCGCCCACTCACTCACTCACCAACTCACCCACTCACACACTCACCCACTCACTCACTCACCCACCCACACACTCACTCACCCACCCACTCACTCACTCACCCACCCACACACTCACTCACCCACTCACTCACTCACCCACTTACTCACTCACCCAATCACCAACCCACCCACTCACTCACCCACTCACCCACCCACTCACTCACTCACCCACCCACCCACTCACCCACTCACTCATTCACCCACCCACTCACTCACCCACTCACTCACCCATCCACATACTCACCGTGAGTGTAGTCAAACTCTCTGTCAGCCTGATGAACCTCTCACTCACTCTCACCAACTCACCCACTCACTCACCCACTCACTCACTCACCAACTCACTCACTCACCCACTCACTCACTCACTCACCAACTCACTCACCAACTCACTCACTCACTCACCCACTCACTCACTCACCCACCCACCCACACACTCACTCACCCACTCACTCACTCACCCACTCACTCACTCACCCACTTACTCACTCACCCAATCACCAACCCACCCACTCACTCGCCCACTCACACTCACCCATTCACCCACTCACTCACTCACCCACTCACTCACTCACTCACCCACCCACTCACCCACTCACTCACCCACCCACTCACTCACCCACTCACTCACTCACTCACCCACTCACCCACTCACTCTCTAACCCACTCACCCACTCACTCAACCACCCACTCACTCACCAACTCACTCTCTAACCCACTCACCCACTCACTCAACCACCCACTCACTCACCCACTCACTCACTCACCCACCCACTCACCCACCCACTCACCCACTCACTCACCCACTCACTCACCCATCTACATACTCACCGTGAGTGTAGTCAAACTCTCTGTCAGCCTGATGAACCACTCACTCACTCACTCTCACCAACTCACCCACTTACTCACTCACCCACTCACCCACTCACTCACTCACCAACTCACTCACCCACTCACTCACTCACCCACCCACTCACTCACCCACTCACTCACTCACCCACCCACTCACCCACTCACTCACTCACCCACTCCCTCACTCACCCACTCACTCACCCATCCACTCACCCACTCACTCACTCACCAACTCACTCACTCACCAACTCACCAACTCACTCACCCACTCACTCACTCACCCACCCACTCACTCACCCACTCACTCACTCACCCACCCACTCACCCACTCACTCACTCACCCACTCACCCACTTACCCACTCACTCACCCATCCACATACTCACCGTGAGTGTAGTCAAACTCTCTGTCAGCCTGATGAACCACTCACTCACTCACTCTCACCAACTCACCCACTCACACACTCGCTATATATACACACACACACACAACCACTCCTCCCTACGGGGAGATAGATGGAGATAGTGAAAGATAATGGGAGGGTAAATGTTATCTTTGTTGGACCCAATAGCTGTGCCATTATCGTAATCTTAGAGAGATACGGAAGAAAGTTCTGTTTGTGTACTTTAAGATCCACGTCCAGACTCTAACACCGGCTGGGATTAAGCCAATGGATGGTTTCAGTGGGTGAGTGAGTGGGTGGGTGAGTGAGTGAGTGGGTGGGGGAGTGGGTGAGTGGGTGAGTGAGTGAGTGGGTGGGTGAGTGGGTGGGTGGGTGAGTGGGTGGGTGAGTGGGTGGGTGGGTGAGTGAGTGGGTGAGTGGGTGAGTGAGTGGGTGAGTGAGTGGGTGAGTGAGTGGGTAAATGGGTGGGTGAGTGGGTGAGTGAGTGGCTGGGTGAGTGGGTGGGTGAGTGAGTGGGTGGGTGAGTGGGTGAGTGAGTGGGTGGGTGAGTGGGTGGGTGAGTGGGTGGGTGAGTGGGTGAGTGGGTAAGTGAGTGGGTGAGTGGGTGAGTGGGTGAGTGAGTGAGTGGGTGAGTGAGTGAGTGGGTGGGTGAGTGAGTGGGTGAGTGAGTGGGTGAGTGGGTGAGTGAGTGGGTGAGTGGGTGAGTGAGTGGGTGAGTGGGTGGGTGAGTGGGTAAGTGGGTGAGTGAGTGGGTGAGTGAGTGGGTGAGTGGGTGAGTGGGTGAGTGAGTGGGTGAGTGGGTGAGTGAGTGGGTAAATGGGTGGGTGAGTGGGTGAGTGAGTGGGTGAGTGAGTGAGTGAGTGGGTGAGTGAGTGAGTGAGTGGGTGAGTGAGTGAGTGAGTGGGTGAGTGGGTGAGTGAGTGGGTGGGTGAGTAAGTGGGTGAGTGAGTGGGTGGGTGAGTGGTTGAGTGAGTGAGTGGGTAAGTGATTGAGTGAGTGGGTGAGTGAGTGAGTGAGTGGGTGAGTGGGTAAGTGAGTGAGTGGATGAGTGAGTGGGTGAGTGAGTGAGTGGGTGAGTGAGTGAGTGAGTGGGTGAGTGGGTGGGTGAGTGGGTGAGTGGGTGAGTGGGTGGGTGAGTGAGTGGGTAAGTGTGTGGGTGAGTGAGTGGGTGATTGAGTGAGTAGGTGAGTGTGTGAGTAAGTGAGTGAGTCGGTGAGTGAGTGAGTGAGTGGGTGAGTGAGTGGGTGAGTGAGTGGGTGAGTGAGTGAGTGAGTGGGTGAGTGAGTGGGTGAGTGAGTGAGTGGGTAAGTGGGTGGGTGAGTGGGTGCGTGAGTGAGTGAGTGGGTGAGTGGGTGAGTGAGTGGGTGAGTGAGTGAGTGGGTGAGTGAGTGAGTGGGTGAGTGAGTGAGTGGGTGGGTGGATGAGTGAGTGGGTGGGTGAGTGAGGGGGTGAGTGAGTGGGTGAGTGGGTGAGTGGGTGAGTGAGTGGATGAGTGAGTGAGTGGGTGAGTGAGTGGGTGAGTGGGTGAGTGAGTGGGTGGGTGAGTAAGTGGGTGAGTGAGTGAGTGGGTGAGTGGGTAAGTGAGTGAGTGGATGAGTGAGTGGGTGAGTGAGTGAGTGGGTGAGTGAGTGAGTGAGTGGGTGAGTGGGTGGGTGAGTGGGTGAGTGGGTGAGTGGGTGGGTGAGTGAGTGGGTAAGTGTGTGGGTGAGTGAGTGGGTGATTGAGTGAGTAGGTGAGTGTGTGAGTAAGTGAGTGAGTCGGTGAGTGAGTGAGTGAGTGGGTGAGTGAGTGGGTGAGTGAGTGGGTGAGTGAGTGAGTGAGTGGGTGAGTGAGTGGGTGAGTGAGTGAGTGAGTGGGTAAGTGGGTGGGTGAGTGGGTGAGTGAGTGAGTGAGTGGGTGGGTGAGTGGGTGAGTGAGTGGGTGAGTGAGTGAGTGAGTGGGTGAGTGAGTGAGTGGGTGAGTGAGTGAGTGGGTGGGTGGATGAGTGAGTGGGTGGGTGAGTGAGGGGGTGAGTGAGTGGGTGAGTGAGTGAGTGAGTGGGTGAGTGGGTGAGTGGGTGAGTGACTGGGTGAGTGAGTGACTGGGTGAGTGAGTGGGTGAGTGGGTGAGTGAGTGGGTGGGTGAGTGAGTGAGTGAGTGGGTGAGTGAGTGAGTGAATGGGTGAGTGGGTAGGTGAGTGAGTGGGTGAGTGAGTGAGTGAGTGGGTGAGTGAGTGAGTGGGTGAATGAGTGGGTGAGTGAGTGAGTGGCTGGGTGAGTGGGTGGGTGGGTGAGTGGGTGAATGAGTGGGTGAGTGGGTGGGTGAGTGGCTGAGTGAGTGGGTGAGTAAGTAAGTGGGTGAGTGAGTGGGTGAGTGAGTGAGTGAGTGGCTGGGTGAGTGGGTGAGTGAGTGGGTGAGTGAGTGGGTAAGTGGGTGGGTGAGTGAGTGAGTAGGTGGGTGAGTGAGTGAGTGGGTGAGTGAGTGAGTGGGTGAGTGGGTGAGTGAGTGAGTGGGTGAGTGAGTGGGTGAGTGAGTGGGTGAGTGAGTGAGTGGGTGAGTGGGTGGGTGAGTGTGCGAGTGGGCGAGTGAGTGGGTGAGTGAGTGGGTAAGTGGGTGGGTGAGTGAGTGGGTGAGTGAGTGAGTAGGTGAGTGTGTGAGTGAGTGAGTGAGTCGGTGAGTGAGTGAGTGAGTGGATGAGTGAGTGGGTGAGTGAGTGAGTGAGTGGGTGAGTGAGTGGGTGAGTGAGTGAGTGGGTGAGTGAGTGGGTGAGTGGGTGGGTGAGTGGGTGAGTGAGTGAGTGAGTGGGTGAGTGAGTGAGTGAGTGGGTGAGTGGGTGAGTGAGTGGGTGAGTGAGTGAGTGGGTGAGTGAGTGAGTGGGTGGGTGAGTGGGTAAATGAGTGGGTGAGTGAGTGGGTAAGTGGGTGGGTGAGTGAGTGGGTGAGTGAGTGAGTAGGTGAGTGTGTGAGTGAGTGAGTGAGTCGGTGAGTGAGTGAATGAGTGGGTGAGTGAGTGGGTGAGTGAGTGAGTGGGTGAGTGAGTGGGTGAGTGAGTGAGTGGGTGGGTGAGTGGGTGAGTGGATGGGTGAGTGGGTGAGTGAGTGAGTGGGTGAGTGATTGAGTGAGTGGGTGAGTGAGTGAGTGAGTTTGTGGGTGAGTGGGTGAGTGAGTGGGTGAGTGAGTGGGTAAGTGGGTGGGTGAGTGAGGGGGTGAGTGGGTGAGTGAGTGAGTGGGTGAGTGAGTGAGTGGGTGAGTGAGTGAGTGAGTGGGTGAGTGGGTGAGTGAGTGGGTGAGTGAGTGAGTGTGTGAGTGGGTGAGTGAGTGAGTGAGTGGGTGGGTGAGTGAGTGGGTGAGTGAGTGAGTGAGTGGGTAAGTGGGTGGGTGAGTGGGTGAGTGAGTGAGTGGGTGAGTGGGTGAGTGAGTGGGTGAGTGAGTGGGTAAGTGGGTGGGTGAGTGAGTGAGTGAGTGGGTGGGTGCGTGGGTGAGTGAGTGGGTGGGTGAGTGAGTGAGTGAGTGGGTGAGTGAGTGAGTGGGTGAGTGGGTGGGTGAGTGAGTGAGTGAGTGGGTGAGTGAGCGAGTGAGTGGGTGAGTGGGTAGGTGAGTGAGTGGGTGAGTGAGTGGGTGAGTAAGTGGGTGAGTGAGTGGGTGGGTGAGTGGGTGAGTGGGTGAGTGAGTGAGTGGGTGAGTGATTGAGTGAGTGGGTGAGTGAGTGAGTGGGTGATTGTGTGAGTGAGTGAGTCGGTG